TAGAAGTGTTATATCCGTTTGATCCGACACTTTGTTGTCTTCTGTGTCTGTGTGCATGGTTTCGTGTTAAAAGGGTTAGGGTGACACCTGCCTTGGATATTTATTCTGATCAGTATTTGTAATTGCCTGTACTTTATTCGTAAAAGTTGAATATCGGACCACTTCGTAAACTATGACAAAAGCTTTGTCCCTCAGTATTCCTTTGAGAACTAGAAAGCACTTAATCTTCCAATAAAACCGAAGATCAAAATCTCCAAAGATAAAAGTTCTTGGAAGCCATTCAGAAAATTCACTTGATAACTTTTCCAATAAGAATATTTGGAGTAAGTCTTACTCGATATTATCAATAAAATAATAGCAATACTTAATATCAAAGAACTTGCGAAACTTAAGCTGTCGAGTATGAAAATAGTTATGCGAATATCTTCTCTTCTTATGGAGTAATCTTTCTTTTATAAACGTTTTTCATCATTCATGCTTGATTTAGACTATTTTAGACACGTAACATTTTGGCTCGAATGATGAAACGATCCCAATATGAATAATAAACACTTCACATAATATCACGCCTTTTATCCCCGAAGGGGTAGGCAGAGGTGTATATTACGGCACTTTATGCAACCGCATAATGTAACACCCACTTTTCACTATTTTGTTGTTTTTGTTTTTGTTTTGTTATGAGTCCCATGTAATAGGGAGTGAGCCTATTGCCATATACCGGGCACGATTCCAGACTCCGTGCTAATACTGAGATTTTTTTTTTAAAAAAGCCCAGTAGTACTTTGTCCGACCCGGGAATCGAATCCGAGACCCCTTGCCTGGCAGTCGCAATTGCGACCTCTTGGCCAACGAGGCCAGAACGCTTATCAAATCAAATCAAATCAAATCAAATGTCTTTATTTGCTGAACAGAGGTGTAGTACATAATTAGTGACTAAGGTGTTATTTATTTTGTTACATATTGTATCTCTTTGTTCTACCCGTTGGGCATGCAAATGTTGGGTATGTCTCAGCCATTGTACGTATTAATGAAATTCACAATCAGTCAATATAAGTATGTAGGTACGAGTCAAAAATATCTTTTCACATTCATAAAGCATTCAAATAATTAGTCATAGAAATTATACATCAATCATCGACAAAAAAAAAGAAAAAAAAAAGATACAGAAAATAATAGTATGTAAATCAAATAGTCATAAATTATAAATTCAAATGTCAAAATCAATCAAATTGTAATAACAAATTTGTAAGGTTTTCACAAAAAAAGTATATGATGTCATTATAGTAGGTACAGTACGTAATTAACACCGTCAATTTACTCCACTACAAAAATTGTTTACTTTATTTTCCTGAGATAAAGTCTTGAACATTATAATAGCATTTATCTATCAAGAAACGATGTAGATATCTTTTAAATAAGTTTATGCTAAGATTCTTAATATCATTAGGTATTCTATTGTAGATGTTTGGAGCCATGCAGAAGACACTTTTGTGAAGCTTACCTTGCCATATTTGAAAAGCTAGCTATTACTAGCAACATAGAACTCCTACTATTTTTCTTGATGTAAACGAACGATTATTCTTTAACTGTTAAAACATTATTCAACAAAACTCACCGTCTTCTCCATACCCTTCTTTGAAAATCTCCAGAAGACAATTTATTATGCAACTTACATTAACACAGATTGTGTTTGTAGTTGCAATCCGAGTTACGGGAACTTTGTAAAATAATTTCGCGATCATGATCCACGTTGTTACTTGTTATATTGGCGGGCGTGATCCGACCGTCGTGAAATCGTGATTTATTGCCAACTTTGGCGAAAGCGTGATCATCCTCTATCGGTATTATGTTCTCTGCTATTTTTATTTCTTTAAAATTTTATATTTCGTAATACATAACATCGGAACATAGTTGGAATTTTGTTTTATTTTTGTGAATTACTAATACTTTAAGACTGCCTTGTTGGCCGAGTGGTCGTAAGTGCGATTGCCGGGCAAGGGGTCGGGCGAGAGGTTTGATTCACGGGTCGAGCATAGTATTAAAGGGATTTTTTTTATTATCAGTTGTAGCACGGAGTCTGAATCTGTGCCCGGTATATGGCAAATAGGCTCACCCCCTATTACATGGGACTCATAACATAAATAGTGAAAAGTGGGTGTTACATTGTACATTGGCATAATGTGCACCTCTGCCTACGCCTTCGAGGATAAAATACGTGATGTTATGTTATGTCTAACGTAAACTTTATCTACAAGTAATGTATAATTTAATAAAGAAATCTAATAAGGAAAGGTCTAATCTAACTCAACTTCATAATAAATTACTTCATAAGTCCCTCTCGAGATTAGCTAGCCTGCCCAAGTGCCCACAAATTCAATTTGAAAAGGATCCCAGCTTAACTCAATCCCATAACGTAACATAAATAGTAATTAATCCTGCATATTTTTATTTTATTTCACTCAGGTATAATGTTTCTAAAAATATACAAAGCCAGGGTGAATTACGTAAATTGTTTTTTACAAAATTACTGTATCTGCATGAGAATTTACATAACACATAACATTATGCCTTTTATCCCAGAAGGCAGAGGTGCATATTACGGCACTTAATGTTAATGCCACTGTACTGACTGACGCCTCGTTGGCCGAGTGGTCGCAAGTGCGACTGCCGGGCAAGGGGTTTCGGGTTCGATTCCCGGGTAGGGCAAAGTATTACTTATTTAAAAAAAAATCTTAGTAGTAGCTCGGAGTCTTGAAATGTGCCCGGTATATGGAAATAGGCTCACCTCCTATTACATGGGACTCATAACATAAATAGTGAAAAGTGGGTGGTACTTCCGTGTGCACCTCTGCCTACCCCTCCGGGGATAAAAGGCGTGATGATATGTAATGCCACTGTACAATGTAACACACGTTTTCATGAGAATGACATGAGAATTTAGTACCTTTTAAAATACTTGATTACAATTTGCTTATAGAGATATTAAATTTTTATTTCGTTTTCTATAAAGTTATTTTTAAAGGGTCATATTTGTCTTTATATGTATAAGTACATAATTTGTGTCTATTTGTTATCTAGAATGGGTGGACCAGTGTTCATGTTTGATTTGTTGAACTTATCCCCGCCCCGAAAAATGGACTTTCCAGTATAACGTAGATCATATGAAATATATTTTTTCTACTATTTTTTTATACTTTGTTTTAGTAAAATACCTTCAAGAACAGAACTTACTCCTTTTTAAAAGCCGGCAACGCATTTTGACTCCTCTGGTGTTGTAGGTGTCCATGGGCGGCGCTGATCGCTTACCATCAGGTGATCCGTCTACTCGTTTGCCTCATATTTCATAAAAAAAAACTAAATTGAAGAAAAACAAACGTCTCTTTAGGAACTTCACTTAGGAAAAAAACACTTGATGTCTTGTATTCCAGCTATGTAAAGACTAAAGTCGACACAAGAATCAGTACCATCATATCAGTTACAAGACGTCCACGGCTGATCATGAAGCCTACAAAGACGTGAATTATCATTAACTCGCTTTTACCCGCGGCTTCGCTCGCGTCACAAAAGGATAAAAAGTAGCCTATAGATACGACATATACCAATACACACAGAGCGCCATCTATATCAATAATTTCGTTTTCCCTCGAGAATATCAAATTGTTGCGGGATAAAATGTACCCTATTATTTAATCTAGACTTCTAACTTTACATCTGCAAAAATTCAAAGCAATTAGTTTAGTAGTTACGGCATGAAAGCGGAACAAACAAACAAACTTACTCTTATAATATTAGTAAGGATTAGAAATAACCCCCCAACAGTCATTAAGTTCATTCTTTCAAACTAATCGTTTTGTTCTGCGACAAACGTAATATGATTTATTACAAAAACCCCTGGCTTTGTCCGCTTCTACTAACAAAGGATCAACCTCTAACGAGATCTAGTTTCTACATCTCCGGTCATTACCGTACCCACGGGACCGTATTACAAATATATTATGGTGATCCCACTGATAGTTAGTAATCTCACGAATTTATACGTTTTAGTGATGGTTTTTGTAATTGAAATGTGCTATCTAATCGCTAGATTCGATGTTTTGAAAGTAGGTTGTAATATAAGTGCGATTAGTTTTATTGTCATAACCCTTTGAGAACCGTCATTATAGACACAATTAAAGAACAATAGGTTGCGGTTACCGGTGTCCTCGCGGTGTTGGACAGTTTAAATTAATGTTTAAACCAGAAGATAGGGCTCACTGTCTTGCAATACTAGAAACCATCCGAATGACGTGGCCTCAAAACTGAACCACATCAGTTACACCAAACGCCTAAAGTGCTATTACATCCAGCAACTGAATGTCAGACATACGGCTTCAAATGGAAGTCCTTCCACTAAAGTCAACATAAGGCACACAACGCATCTTGATGAAAATGGAACAAAAATAAATAACCTTTAACAAAACTGTTGGATGTATGAAGGGTAGACTAGAAAAACGTCAAAATACACAGACTAAAACATGAGGCTTCAAAACCTTTTAAATGGCGTTTAAAAATAGACATACCAATTACCAACTTGAGACAGGGGGAATCATCTACGAATTAATCCACCTATATGAAATCCTAGAAATTTTCCTTTAGTCGACCTTCTCCAAACAGTCAGTTCAGTGACCAAAATAACTTCACACCAAACAACTAGCAGGTCATACAAATATTTGTTCTGTACACAAACTACAATACATTATTGTACCAGCCAATCATTGTTGCCTAGCTCAGCTACCGACTGGCCTGAACATGTCCTATGATAAATATCGTGCATGAATTTGGGTTTTAAACTGCTAACGTTACTTCTAATTCGCTGCAAAGAAGGACCGTCATTCTTATGTTTCTTATATAAGAGAAAAAAAACAAAAATAGCCTTCAACCTCCTTAATAATGTACCAAATGTAAGAATTATACTACGCCTCCTACAAACGTAACCTCTAAATCTACTCTTATTGTTGCAGGGGGAACAACCAGCCATCATAATAAAGGGTAAGTAACCGAATACCTTTGTTCAATTGTCCCATCTCTTAATGATCATGTTCCAAGCTTTGTTGGGCACAGGTAGGGACGATATCGGTGACTGCATCATTTAACATGAATGAGAAGAAGTCACCGTTTTTCTTTACCCATGAATGAATGGGGCTTCCTATTGTCGTTGTCAACTCTTGCTCGTCAATCTTATTCATTCAAGGAATTGTAATTAAGAAGAAAGAGAGAAAAAAAAATAGACAGTAAAATAACGTCAAGCATTAAGTTTTAATTTCTGACTAAGGGTCTAATTAAACTGAGTATGTGCTTGAGCCTTATGAGATGTACTATAAGCTTTAGCGGATTGTAGAAGGCAAATGACAACAGCCCCATCTAAAATAATGACATTCAACTAAATCTGTTCTGTTCATACTATAAACATACGGAGAAAAAGGAGGAGAAACAAAAATAAGTCCAAGAAAATTATTCACAAACCTAATAAAAACTGCCCTGAATAATCGCTTCTAGAGAAACCCACTAAATACACATTGAAACTTAGCCAAGCATTATGGATAAACTGTACAATGCACTATACAAAAAGACATACAAACATTCAGAAAAGCAACTCAACCATTTCTTGTTGAAGTTATTTGACCCTACACGGGATCATGTCAGATTTTTACAATACCCCTCCCTTTTCCCTCTAACCAATTCATCCATGACATTCACCTCTTTACAGTCTCCACCCATCCTGCATATAATCACAATGGCGTTACGTCACTTTGTACTCACAAAGACGACCCAATTCACATGAACGCTTTCCATTTCATCGTTTATTTAGGCGACATCAATTAATAATGCATTAGAAGGAGAAATGTATGGTACGCATGCGTGTTTCGATGAAAGTGATAACGTATCTACATACATGTGATTTACTTTTACTCTGCTCGTTGTAATTAACCCGAATTGAAGGCACGGGCTATTTAATTTGCCGTAAAGCTGTTTTGTTCGAGCTCCGTCCGATTGTGATGCTCAATAAAATTGCTCTTTCGTAGTGTGAATGGGTTTAAGTAATTAATAAAGTGTTTGCTACATCTCTATGTAGGTGATTGTGCTATAATTACGTTACAGTTCCAACGTTTGAGCTGGATTTGCGTTAAATGTGTATTTGTCTAATGCGCTAGATAGGCTCACTTGTCTTAACGTATCAAGAAAATTAAAATTTTTTGTCTGTTGGTACTCCTAGGATGTGATCTTTAATTTGTAAATGATTCTCTATATGAACTGAAAATATTAATCCACAGTCGTTTATTTTTAGTCATTATGAATGGCAATAACCTTGAGCGAGAATAACAAATATGTTACAACACTTTCCCCATATATAGTGGGCAAATCACGTCACTGCCATAAACGCTATAGCAAAATAATTGAAATATGACAATTATTACCAACGGTATTGAATACAGCAAATATTATGCAAAAAGGGAAATGTATACTGTTTGCCAACTAACACAGAAAAAAATCATATGCGATTCGATACGATGATTGCATAAGCATTGAGTTTGTATGGACTTATTGACAAACCGGCTGCAACTGCTGGTCTCTTTTCTTGAGAAGATATCAAGTAATGAAAATGTAATTGAAAATTGAGACAGATCTCTTTATAATCCAGATGCATTATATGATGAACTTATCTTTCATAAAGTGGTAATGAAAGATCAGTTTTTTTTTATGGCATAAGCCGGTAAACGAGCAGACGGATCACCTGATGGTAAGCAATCGGCGTCGCCCATAGACACTTGGAACACCAGAGGCATTACAAGTGCGTTACCGGCCTTATGGGGATTAGGAGTTAGAGTATCGTTGGGGATTCAGGGATTGGGGAGATTGGGGAAGGGGAGGATAATTGGGCCTCCGGTAACCTCATTCACACGACGAAACACAACGCAAGCGTTGCTTCAGTTCATCAGAAATAACTCTTTCATTATAAGTAAACTTCTTTCGCTTCTTGGACATTAATCATCCATTATGGCTGCTTTGTTTCTGCAGACCTGCAAACATCGGATGCACGTATAATGCTATAATTATCGAAGTATGTATATTTTATATATTAGTTGGTTTAAAACATAACTTAATCATTAACTTAATCCGGTAATAACATTTGCTACTACCACCAAAATCTGCACCAGCGGGGGCTCCAAGCGGGCTCACGCCCAGACCCTTCTGCGCTCTCTGTCGCGCACGTCCTACTCGTTACGGCTTAATGACGTCACTTGGATAAAACTAATAGAAGTTTTCATTAAATACAAACATCAAATCACTGATGGTTGACTGATCAACCAACGTAGCTATAATATACGCACGTTACAATATGCACGCATTTATCCACAAACCGGTAATTTTCAACACGGTAGTCGTTTTGTGCGTTACAAAATATATTCACATATTGTTGCAGTAACATATGACGCTGAATTTGCTAACTGTTGCTACGAAGTTGACAGACACGTCATGACGTCACTTGTCAAACCGGTAACGTCCGTGGTTTGACATAGATGACCTGTCACGCCTATAAAGCTAGAATACATAAATAATGGATTAATAAATCAGCTTGTCTCGCTCACTACGTAGCGAAGGTAATCTCATGAAGAAGGAAAGAACATAGCAGCATAGGTGCAGTTCCCGGGTCGGGATTTACAAATTGCCAGTATCATTATCATCATAAAATCACGGTAACATCCACTTTTTACTATTATGTTATGAGTCCCATGTAATAGGGGGGTACGCCTATTGTCATATACTGGGCACAATTCCAGACTCCCTGCAGCTACTAAGTTTTTTTTTTAAACCCAGTAATATTTTACCCAATGAAATCCCTTGCTCCTCAGTTGCACTTGCGACCACTCGGCCAACGAGGTAGTCAAATTGTCAGTACTTGGACATAATCTGTGTCCGCCGGGTAGCAACAGTAGCAATGGACTATACGGAAACAGTAGCGTAAGTAGTAAAAATACGATATTTACATTTAACTCGTCGAGTACCGGTTTTGTAGACACAATTATAGAACAATAGGTCACCGGTGACCGCTTGGTGTTTGACAGTTTTAAGGCATTCTTAAAATCCAGTCAATTATTAAACATTAAGCTGCTTCTAAATCATTGTCAGCTAATAAATCAGCCTGTCCTCGGTAAATATCTCAATTATTCCTGAGAGAGCTGACTAGTCTTGAGTTAGCAGTAGATGGCACACTGGGGAAATATTATCACTGCTTAGATTCTCCAAGTATAAATTAGTAAGATCTGATTTTCCTAGTGATAGTGGCCTGATCATGAAGGTGGATTCAGCTGTGATATTCAATTGAAAAATAAATATCTGAATATCGTAATTTAAAAAATTAAAGCACTGCTGTCCGGTCTCAGTGGAATGTGTAGTCTCTTACTGTTGATTTCAATAACCAATTTAATTTTTTTTTCAATCCGGACATTTTTGGCTTAAAATCATTTTTTTTGGGACAAGCCCGCACAATTGCCCAAAACCGCTGCAACTCCTGTAGGTAAGCTAGGATGTACAGTAGATACAACCATGAGAACACTGAAGTCCCAGAGGCATGAATAACTATCTTGGTTCCCGCAACGAAATAAATCAGAAGATAATAATGAGAGGAGAAGAAAAAAGATGCGACTTGCAACTGCCAGGCAAGGGGTCTCAAAGGGGAGGTCGGCAAATTCAGTAGTAGCACGAAGTTTGAAATTGTGCCCAGTATATTGCAATAGGCTCACCCCCTATTACATGAGACTCATAGTCATAACATAAATAGTGTTAAAGTGGGTGTTACATTGTACAGTGGCATTAAGTGTCGTAATGTGCACCTCTGCCTACCCCTTCAGGAATAAAAAGGCGTGTTGTTATGTTATGTTAAGATAAAAAGATCGGTTATTAAAATCAGCAATTAGTCATCCCTTACGACTACTCGTGGGATAAATAGGGGTCAAACCAGCTCAAGATTCTATGTTTTGTATAATCCAGTTGTCAGCCTAACCTTTAATAGAATAAAGGTGTTATGTTAACTGTTTAGCAATCATCACCTAATATGAGATAATTTGTATAATTGTGTTAAGTGTCTAATCATTAAAGACCTTTGTTTGACCTTTCATGTTTGTTTTACATACGCATATACATACATACCTACATACATATACAGGTATACGTGGCAAGTGTTGTTCTTAATGTATCGCTACGTAGAATTGTTTTTTTAAACTCACGTGGAAATATTGAAGGGTGATTTTCTTCCTAGAACTGTGAATAATTTGGTAACACAGCCCTACCTATATCGTCTTTTGTTAGCACTGAAATTATTATATCCTAACAAACACGTGTGGCCTTTCTATGGAAAGGTTGATCTTGAGTTGTAATGAATAACAATATGAGGTAATAAGACCATTTTTGAGTACACAGGACTCTTTAAGCACCAATGGCAACAGCTACAGCTAAAAGAAATGAAACTTAGTTACTATTATGGTATTAGTAGCTTCTGCCCGCATTTCCGAGGGATAAAAAGTAGCCTATGTTTTATTTCAGACTATAATGGTAGATTCCGAGCTGTTCCAAATTTCATCCCGATCCTTTCAGCCGTTTTCACGTGAACCTTTGGAGTAATAAACGGTCATACAAACTATCGTGTTTACAATATTAGTAGGATTAGTAAAATAAATGTTTGTCAAAATTGGAAAAACGCGGCGACGTCGCGCAGCTCACGTCGCCGCGACCGCGCACGCTGCTCATGAGGAAGAACCCCTCTGTGGTTCGAAACTAGTAGAGCTTTTCTCAGTATATTCACGTGAGTAACCCGCGTTTTTACTTAATTTAGTATGTCTCACGATAGTTATTATAAAAACAGGCTTATTACAATTTCAAAATGTTGTGGTGGCCCCGAGGTTTAAGACGCTTCTCATGCATGAGGGTGCGGTTTCGAAACCTACCAACGGCAAGTACCAATGTGACTTTTCCGAGTTATATGCACTTTC